CAGGTCTGTTTTTCTTTAGCCCAGGTAAGACGCTTCTGACGTTGTTTGTTGTTCAGGAGCGGCTAGACAAGAGGAATACAACATTTGAAGCCCATGTCCAGGATCCGTCTGTGTGGTGGTTCTTGATGCACTGACTCCAGCCTCAGTCCACTCCTTGTGAAAGTCCCCAGCACTTTTGAATGGCCTTTTCCTGACAATCCTCTCCAGGCTGCGGTCATCCCTGCTGCTTGTGCACCTTTTTCTTCCACACTTTTCCCTTCCACATAACTTTCTATTAATGCGCTTTGATACAGCACTTTGGGAACATCCAACTTCTTTTGCAATTACCTTTTTTTGAGGCTTTCCCTCCTTTATGGAGGGTGTCAATGATGGTTTTTTCTGCACAACTGTCAGGTCAGCAGTCTTTTCCATGATTGTGATTCCTACTGAATCAGACTGAGAGACCATTTAAAGGCTCAGGAACCCTTTGCAGATGTTATGGCTTAATTAGCTGATTAGAGTGGGACACTTTGAGCCTAGAATATTGCACCTTTTCACAATATTCTAATTTTCTGAGATTGTGGATTTGGGGTTTTCATGAGCTGTAAGCCATAATCATCACAATTATGACAAATCACGGCTTGAACTATCTTGCTTTGCATGTAATGAGTCTTATCTCATATATTCACCTTTTTAAGTTGCATTACTGAAATAAATGAACTTTTGCACGATATTCTAATTTTTTGAGTTTCACCTGTACAAGTGTTTCTAGCTGCAGATTGGAATGCAGCTACATTGTTTTCAAGGGAGTCATTCACACACTGAGCTGCTTTCAGATCTGTAACACAGAATCCAAAAATCTGCATCTAAGAACATAAATGAACTGGTTGATGCAGACAGTATGCAAATATGTGGCCTTTGAACAGCTGAGCCTTGAGGCTGAGCGGCCACATATTTGCCTACCAAAAGAAAACAAATGTGCCAAGAGTGCATGCTCCTTCATGGAAAGGTCCCGATCGCTACTTGCTGTCAGGATCTTTCCAATCATGTGACAGCCAAACGCAGCTGTCACATGACCCTGAACACTGCGTTACAAACCCCCTAAAGGGCCAGGAGGCACAAGCATTAGGGGTTAAAGTAGAACTATATGCAACATTTTATATTTCATGTTGGAAAGCGTAAGGGAGGGTTATAACCTGTCAGATTTTTTTTTTTTTTTTTTTTTTCTGCTATCTGCATCCCATTGCGGAGATTTCCCTTCACTTCCTGTACCATAGCCAAACAGAAAGTGAGCATGTTGAGAGGCTGAGTCAGTTGCCGGTCAGGAAATTGGGTGGATCCTGACATTAAAGACAGAATCTCTCCAGAGGCTGGACTAACTCTGTGACATCAGCCAACAGCAGTTTTTAGCCTGTTGGATGAAGGCCAAAGGAGTGCAGAATAAAGTGTACTCCTGTGATTCCCAGGAGATACAGGAGTCAAGAGCTTTGGGCCATTTCCTTTAATCGCTTGCCAACCGCGCTATGGCCTAATGACGGCTACAGCTCGGTTGTCCAGTACTGGGAGGACGTCATATGATGTCTTCACAGAACGCATCCTCCCGTGCACCACCAGTGGTGCACACCCGGCACTCTCTGATCACTTTTTATTCTACGGGCACAGCTAATCAAATGGTGAGGCTTACCACATCAGCTGTGTCCAACGACACAGCATATCACCGAGTAAACACAGTTGGCGGTTATCGGCAGCAGACAGCTTGAGGAAAGTACTGCCGATAATTGGCAAATGACACAGAGGACATTTGTACCAATCATCAGGGTACTGATGATCAGTGCTGCTTATCAGTGCAGCCTCATCAACGCACATCAGTGAAGGAGAAAAATTACTTGTTTGCAAAATTTTATAATAGAAACACAGAGAAACGTGTTTGTTTTTTTTTTTTTTTTTTTTAAAGCACAAAAAAAGAAACACCCAGTGGCAATTAAATACCACCAAAAAGAAAGCTCTGTGTGTGGGGAAGAAAAAGATAACCATTTCATATGGGTACAATGTTGCATGACCACAAATTTTCAAAGTGCAATAGCACTGAAAATTGGTCTGGGCACGAAGGGGGTAAAAGTGCCTGGTAAGCAAATTAGGTAATGTTTTCACCTCTTGTCTCAGTTTCTCAACTTTATTTTTGTCTTTGGAGTCTTCCTTATTCTCTTGAATGTATAGCACTGCAATGCATGTCTATTGTTGATGCTATGGTAGTGTTTCTTTTTTTTTTTTTTTTTTTTTTTTTTTTACCTAATACTGATTTTTGTAGTAGCAAGTTAAAGTAGAACTATATGAGAAACTTCTTTTCTTTTTTTTTTTTTTTTTTTTTTCTTCATTTTGAATGGTGCAAGGGAGGGTTATAACCAGCCAGATCTTTTTCCGCCATCTGTGTCCCATTGCGGAGAGTTCCCTCCACTTCCTGTCCCATAGCCAAACAGGAAGTGAGGAAATTCCTGCAAGGGGGGAGGGGGGCACGCAGGTCACCAGAACTAGTGTCCCCATTGGAAGATTTCCCTCTTTTCTGGGCATAACCCAAAATTTGGGATTTTCTTTTACTTTCAGTTATAATGGTAAACAGGACAAATAGAAGAGGGTGAATCTCCCCAATGGGGACACAGACCTAAAAACTAACCGGTTCTAATCCCTCTGCACGCTATCCAAAACTAAAATGTTTTTTGCCTGTAGTTAAACTGTCTAAATGGGGGGGGGGATAAACCATCCGAAAAACAAATTATGTATCCATATGCGTTTTTAGGGCCAGTTAACGCCACATGCAGTCCAGTGTATTTTTTGTGGGTTTTTTTTTTTTTTTTTTTTTGTTAAAACACATGGAAAGTAGGTTTCCAGTGGCATAGTTCACACCAATGCAGTCAATTCCAGGGCATTTTAGTTTCAGAAAAAAAATACAACCTGCTGTACTGGAATGCAGTAAAATGAGTCAAACACACCGGACCCCAATACAATGAGAAGGGGGAAAAAACATCTGGAATGGCATTAAAACTCACTGGAAACACATTAAAAATGTGCATGCAGAAAATGTATCCGGAACAGATCTGGAGGTTTTTTGTGGTGTGAACTGGCCCTTAAAGTGGAACTTCATTCACACCAGTGCATTTTAGCACAGCTGTGAAACGCAGATCAATGGAATGACATCTGAAAAACAATTTCCAATGTGTCCTATTAACACCATAAAATGCGCATGTTAGCAGAGTTTAAAATGGATAGAAATGTACGTGTATTTTAACACAAGTCATTATGAATTGGCTTTCAATCAACATTCATATGTTTATTCCTTATGCTGCTAGCGTTCGTAATTGGGAAGATATATTTTATATGTTTTAAAGTTTACATTTCTTCAGTTGCTTCCTGGTTTCTGGCCTAGGCAAATGTCATTCATCCTAAGAGTCTTTTGAAGAGGAGGGGTTTTCTCAGCTAAGCACACCCTTCTGCTTGCATGTCTGAGCTAAGGGTAGATGGATTCCAGTAAGTAAATAATACACAAATCAGGTGCCCTTTCTCAAGATGGCCACAACCAAAAAATCCTAGGAGGGTGTTTTTCAAAGTGATTTCTCAGCAAAATAAAGCATGGAGACTTGGATGGATGGGGGAGTTGCTTTGAATAATACAAATGCATAAAATAGTGTCTTTAGTTGTGCTCAGATGCAGCATAGTACACAAGTATTTTACTGATCATTATGCAGGAACCTTTCTCTTAGGAAACACGTTTGTAATAACATCAGTAACATTTTTATGGCTCTGTGGATGAGGCCTAAACGAATAACCTATTTTGTTGAAAGCTGAACTCTCTGCCAATCCCTCCATTGGCTTCTAATTACCCAACAAATTAGTCTTAAAGTGGAGCTCCACCCAAAAGGGGAAGTTCTGCTTTGAGGACTGCTCCCCATTAAGGATTGGCACCTTTTGGGGGTGGGGAGGAGCGGGTACCCGAATTTGACAGGTTCCCACTTCCAGTCTGATCGCCTAGGCAAGCGGAAGCGGAAGGTGTCCTCCCTCCCTGTAGTCTTTTGGGATCTGGACAGGTCCCATAAGACTACAGGACCATTCATGCAGCGCTACTCGCGCATGCTGCAAGCTATCACAGCCGGGTGCCCACACTGAAGATGCCGGCCTCCTGGAATCCAGGACAGCCGGTGAAACGGGCTGCGGGGGGCACACCACGGAACCGAGGGACAGGTAAGTGGCTGTTTTTTTTTAAAAGTCAGCAGCTACAGTTTTTGTAGCTGCTGACTTTTATTCTTTGACAGGGTCTGTGGAACTCCGCTTTAAATGCAAAGCCATTACCAACTCTGACTCAAGCTTAATCACCAATCTTGTCTCAAAACTTCATGCAAAGTGTCCGCATTGCTCTTTCCAAGACTTCATGCTATCTAATTCTGTGTCTCCAGAGCTTCTCCCGTCCTCTCAATCTATCCAGCTGTCTCCTACTACTCTGTCCACCTTTAGATGATCCCTGAAAACTCATCTCTTCACCGAAGCCTATCTCTCCTCAATCTAACAACTAAACGTTTAATTTTTCCATCAGCCCATCCCTCACAGTTGTTTCCTTTTTGTACCACTTGCCCCACCCAGTTGCAAGCTCTTATGAGCAGGACTTTTCTAACCCTCTTGTATTGTAACTGTACTGTCTCCTTCTATATTGTAAAGCACTGCACAAACTGTTGGTGCTATCTAAATCCTGTATCATTCCAGGAATTACTTTTTTGTGTACTTGCAATATTCCAGATGCTGGTCTGATATGTGTATGACTTCCCCTCTGTACACTGACCACTGGGGGTGGTCACTGCTGCCTCTTTCAGGTGCATCTGATTGGAAGGTCCACTCATCCCTATGGACAGGCGGATGTAAATGGCTTTTAAATTGGCTAGGTTTTGTTCCCATGTGTGCTGTTTTATTTGTAGTAATGTGAAATTTACCCAGTTACAAGAACAGTACTCTCTGTGCTATTTGCAGGGGGGAAAAAAATGTCTTCTGATGTATCGGATAGCCTGACAAAAGAGGAAACCGAGGCTGTTGAACAGGTTACAGAAGAAAACGTTATTGAAGACGCTGCTAATGGGAGTGAAGGAGGAGAAAATGAAGAGGAGGAGGAAGATGATGAAGAGGAAGATGATAAAAAGGGTATATTTATAAAGTACAGTTTACCATGTTTTGTGACAATCCTCTTCTAAAGCATCAAAGCTAACTTGCAAAAAAGGGAAAAAAAATCGACCCTAATGGCATGTACTGTGTATCTAATCTAAATGTGTCATGCACCCATAGATATTTTACAGTAAATGGGGTATCTGGTGATTCCCACTGCACTATAAAAATTGTAAAAAGCATTATGTCCTAGTAAATGTGTTTTTTTTTTTTTTTTTTTTTTTTTTTTGTTTTTTTTTTTTTCCAGAAAAGAGTCTTATTGTTGAGGGTAAAAGAGAAAAGAAAAAGGTGGAGCGATTGAGCTTGGAAATGACCGTTGTAAAGGAAGGAGCCAGTCTTAACTGAAGGTACTCTAAAGTAATTTACACTGAAAACTAAACCCACCTTGTAACATACAGCGACCTTGCCCCCATGTAAAACGTGTAGCATTGCAGTAGTTGATTGCCGTCTACGGAAACTGTTGCATGCGGAAGCCATCATAATTGGTAAATTGCATACTTGCTGCAGTTCTGCAAAATGTTTGCATCCTGGCCCTCTGTCTTCCAGTTAGACTGGGATATTTGATGTGAATTTTTTTAAAATTTGACTTTCAGTACAAGCTTGTGTTCCGTGTGCAGCTGTTTTAATATCTTCTTGGGGTAGTGGCATTTTTATACCCTTTTTAAATGTCTTTAAAACCTCAGCATACCTAAGATAGTCTGTAATACAATGATTACTTATTTTAGTTCAACTAAACTCAAGTTAAAAAATCATTATGAGCTTCTACATCAATATGCTATACATGCATTCTCTTCCAGGAAAGGGTCAAAAATTGTATGATATAGAACGCATCTCCTACTTCTTAAAGAAAAAGAAATGTGAAGAGTTACGACTTTTGCATCGTCTGCTTTTTAATCGCCCGGGCACAGTAAGTATGTCATGCAAAAACAGTCTGTTTTACAGGTAAAAGCTACATTTCTGTATTACTACTTACTTGTTATGGCTTTTTCTGCAGCTTTGTGCAAGGGATGTATGTATATTGTGGCTCAAAATGGTAAAGCTGGAGAAAGCAAAGCAACGCAACGAGACTTTTCATAGTTTAGCCTTGGCACCCTTTATATTTCTGTTTTAAAAAAAAAAAAAAAAAAAACAGCCACTCGCCTATCCCACAATCCAGCGGTGTACTCACTGCAGCTGGTTTCACCAGCTGTCTTCTCTCCCCAATGCCAGCATCTTAAGTGAGGGCACCCAACTGTGACAGCTTGTGGCTTCACTGCCAGGTGCCCACTGCTCATGCACGGGTAGCACTGCGCTTTGTGAATGGTCCCGTAGTCTTCTGAAACCTGTCACATGTCCCAGAAGACTACGGGGGAGAGAACAACTTTCGCTTCAATCACCTAGGCTGAAGTTGGAAGGGGTGCCTGTCAAAATTGGGTACCAAAGGTTCCAATTTCACGGGGAGCAGGGGGACCAGTACCTAAGAGGAACTTCTTTTCTGTGGTGCTCTGCTTTAACCTTTTTGTCATGGGTAGAATGTGTGTGTCCGGGAGTCATTCCAAGGTAAAATAAGCTTGTGGCTGCTATAGTAGCAGTGTCATTAATTCTAAAATTGGAGTGGAAATGTGTGTGTTCCCTCTCACCGCTGTTCTGGGCTCATCGGAGAGCCCTGGAACAGCAAAACATCTTCCTGGATCTAGAACGGATTGCATACTTAATAATTGAGGCAGTATGATGTCACACTGGTTCTGCAAACTGCCACCTACTGTCCGGCAGACCTATCGGCAATCCCAAATCATTGTAACCCTTCCCTATGCTGTCCAAAACTTTCAAAATATTTTTTTTGGTTGCAGTTACTTAAATGTACCCGTTCCAACTTGCATACAAATTCAGCTAAAGAAACCTACAGAACATATCTTGTTTGTAATCTGGAGACTGTAAACCATAAAGAAATATAAACTTGAATACATACACTGAATCACAAAATGTCCATCACATCAAAAGGTGTTCTGTGCTCCAAATAAATTTTCAATTCTTATGTGCAGACAAGACATCCAAGTGTAACAAAAAAAAAGGCAGACCTTTTTCTGCATTTCTATGTATGTTTTTGTTTGAGTGCCACCACCTTTGACACAACACAATTTGGGTCATACAGCACTTTTCCATTTGGGGCAAGAGGGGGGTTCCTGGACCAGTAGATCAATCTCCTCCAAAGGTATTCCTCTCTCAGGCTCAGATAACAACAACAAAAAATCTTGCATGGTGTAAAATCCTCACTTTAAAAAAACAAAAAAAAAACAAAAGAAAAATGCCTCACTAAATCCACATAAATGCTCACTCGCATTAAAATGTGCACACCCTTGCACCAGGGACAAAGCGTGTAGTCATAGCATCCGCTCCGCCGCTACTGCTCATCTGCAGCGCAAGCACTGCTTCACTTGTTCAGTGGGATGATGTCACTTCATGTGAGTGTGTACATATATTCACTTGGAATTGCTGGTTTTTGTTTTTTTCAGAGCATTGGCTCTTGTTTCCAGTCCTGGCATACCAATCGTGGAATGTTCAGTTGAACTCCTGTCAGTCAGCTTTATAGATTCGAGTGGTGGGCACCTTCCCAAAGGGCATATCTCCTGTAAGATCTGGCCAGATTTGTGACTCATCGGGTTTCAAAATTGGTGGTCATTGTCACCAGTGGGTGAGGTGATCAACCTTAAGCTATCCATAAAATTACTCATAACCTGTGTACTTTTTTTTTTTTTTTTTTTTTTTTTTTTCTTTTAGCTCCTTTTGTCATGCAGCAGGGTGTTCATTCCTTCTCCTTTCATCGAGGGAATCGTAGGTGTTGGAACCGCTGCAGGATGGCCTATTCCCTTTCCAATTATTTCCTGGCTCTCCAACGCCCCTCATTGTGGTTGTGGCTTTGGGTTTTAAGGATTCCTGTGGTTATGTCGAAGTCGGTTACTTAGTCCCTGTCATAATCTTTCAGCCACCTACAGGCTACTGAGGTAGTGTCTTACTGTAACCTATCTCTTCCAAGAACTATTGTATGATACCTTTTGAGCAAAAAGTTCTTGCCATGGCAGGGGGGTGCCTACTTCAGATTCTTGGACACCCACCAGGTTTTGCTTCTGGGAAGGAGTTGGGGAGTCTACCTATGATGGGCAAAGTTGTCTGACCTCTGTACTGGACAATGTTCAAACCCTTCTTTTAACAACCTCAATACTGGCCACCCTCACCCCCTTTCTGCCCAGGCCAATTTTTCCACTTTCAGCTCTCACACTTTGACGATTACTCAGTCATGCAACATTGTACCCAAATGAAATTTTTATCTTTTTTTTTTTTTTCTTCAAATGGAGCTTTCTTTTGATGGTATTTTAATCCTTACTGGGATTTTTATTTTTTTGTGCTTAAGTTTTAACCAAAATGCGTACTGCTACATTTCTTGGTAAAATATATATTTTATTTATTTTTTTGAAACTGTACCCAGAGAATAAATAACAAAGCACACACTTGGTTGTCACAAGGAATGTACACATCACTTGTGCCTTCCTTGATTGTCAGTAGATGCATCACCCCTGCCTCCAACTGCAGAAGTCTTTTGGGACAGTGTGTTTAATGGATTACATGAACCCTCTTCACTAGAGTACTGGTCCGCTTTCACTGATCATCAGCCTTCTGTGAATTGTCCTCCAAGTCCAATCTTTTATCCTGCTTTTTGTCAGGCATGCTCTTAGTGCTTTGGCTAAGATTCCTATACAGTGTTCACTGGGCATTTGGGTGCTTTACTGGAACTAGGGGTTGTTTGTCAGGAGCTTCTCAGTAGCTAGGCTGTGGGAAGAGGCATGCTGTGCAGCAGGCTCCGGTGTCACACCTAGGAGACTCCAACCGTGTGTGTATTAACCCTGTGTCCCCTTGGTAGTTCCCATTTCACCAGTATAGGGTTGAGGCCTAATTCTCATGCTTTCCTGCTTATTGTGGTCCCTTCCAGGCATTCATTCCCTTTTTTTTGTCTGATTTGAATTTGTGAGACAGACCCATTTGTGGGCTTAGTGATCACTTTATACCCTTGTGGACTGTTGTGCTGTACACTTACTGTACGTTCTCTGGTGTACCTCTCTAAATGAAGTTCTGCTGGGTAGTTATTGTCCTTCCTTTTTTTTTTTTTTTTTTTTTTTTTTTTTTTTGGCATTTCCCCATGCATTTTTTTTTTTTTTTGTCCATGCCAAAACGAAAATTTTTTTTTTTTTTTTGTGCTTGCCATACAAATCTATCTAGTCATGGAGAGACATTGGTCTCGCTGTTCTGTGTCTTCCATTATACCAGTAGTACTGCATTTACCAAAAAACTGAGGTATGCTGGGTAGATTAGTTATACTGGGGGCTTGCTTTTTTTTGTCAGTGTTCAGTCCTTCTGTAGGCAGCACGATAAACCCAACTGGATCTGAATTCCTGTGTTCTTCAATGGGCTCCCAAGAAATGGATTTTACAATAAGTACAAAAATTACATTTTTGTTGCTTTAAAGTTGCTCTTCCCTTTTTTTTTTTTTTTTTTTTTTTTTTTTTTTTCTCATTTAATACGTTGTCCTTTTGAGCGTTGTGCCCAGAGTGACATTGTATGTAGTAGTAGTAAGCAAAGTTATGACGGTAGTTAGAAAAGAATCCTGCCTATACCTACAGTGATGTTACCAGTATGTACATCTTCCTTAGGATGGAATTGTAGCCTATGTTGAAATATGCACCACAATGCATGAAAATTGTGAATGTAGTTCAGATGAATAACTCCTCAAATAACATTTGTATTACTACCTTTATGATTTAGGTTTTTCAAGTAAAAAGAAATATCGGTCAGTTTAATGGATTTGCATTTGATGCTGGAAGTGAACAGTACAAAAAGAAGGAAGATTTGCTTAAAAAGTAAAGTACTGCTTTTTGGTTTCAATATATTTTATTTGGAAGGCTTTCTCATTTACAAGTACAAAAGCTTAGGTAGACTTCAGCATCATAATATACATCTTGACATGGGCAGTACAAAATAGGAGTACAGGTATAAGGGCATCAAAATGTTGCATATAAGAACATATTTAGCCCCAGTTATAATAGACTTAACATATTTTCCTCCAAAAGTGTAGTCTGGAAACTGGTGACCACTTAAAGTACCCCTATCAGGCCCTGGGTACTGTAGTGGGAAGGCGGGAAAGAGGTGTACTGTTGAGAATGAACACCCACACAAAAAGTGAATCCTAAAACACACATGCATTCCACCAGACCTCAATGACTTGAAGATTAAATCATCCATAGTCTCAATTTAACTGTAAAATCGGGTACTGTTGCTGGTCTCGCTGCATGCCGGGCTGGAAGGTGCCATGTTTTGTGACAAACTGGATAAGGCTTTTGTTCTTGTCAGCTTGCTGTGCCATTTGAACTTTGACTTGACAGACCTGTAGCCTCCAGAGTGTCCTGACAAAACATGGAGAATAAGAAAGCAGCCCTGGCTTTGAAACTGCTTGGCTTGTTGACCATGGGTGAAAGGGAGCTAGATCAAGTCATGGTGAATACTTAGATCTGCACGTGTGCAACTCCATAAATACCTGTTTTTTGGATTTTGGTTGTTGTTTCTTTTTTTTTGTTTTTTCCATCTGGTCTGTTTTGAGTATTTTTCTCACCTTTTTCGCTGAGTTTCATAATCATGCTTTCTATTTCCAGGTTTAAAAAGAGTGATTTGAAAAACATTTGCGGAATTCTTGATCTTGAAAAGTCTGGTGCAAACGTTGAATTGATTTCTAGGATTCTGACTTTCCTTTTGAAACCTAAGTCTACAGGAAAGGTAATAAAGATGCGTTCATATAAATGTAAAATAACGTTTAGGTCAAATGTGGTATGGTTGCCTCACTGATTTCCTTTAACCACTTGCCTAATGTAGGACATCCATGGATATCCTTGGGTTATAGTGGTATCACGAGAAGATGCCGGCAGCCAGCGATTCCCTTTAAGGCAGGAGTTATTTGAGTGGCTAAACTGTCACTTCTGCGGGCGGTGGAAGGGGCTGATCAGACAGATCTGTGTCTGATTGTAGGCCAGAGGTGAGATTTTGGGTTCTAATAGACTTTGGGTCTCTCGATACAGAGGACCTGTCGCAGCCCATGCTATCCCTTGTTATAGCAATAAAGTTAATACAAAAAGGAAGGGGGGCTTCTAAGTAACGTTCCAGCAAAAAGTAGATTTTTTACATGTCTGAAGTGTCAGAATTGGCCCGGTAGGCAAATGGTTAAAGTTCTCAGTTTTAAGGCCAGGTTCACACTGATTGCGCTGCGTTTTACACTAGGTTTTAGGTCACATTGACATCTATTAAACTTTTTTTTTTTTTTTTTTTTTTTTTTTTTTCCCATGAAAGCTCATCAGTCCTGCATGCTGCATCTTTTTGATTTGCTTTCAGAAAATGTACAGTCTAATAGAAATCAATGGGAGCACACCTAAAGTTTTTAATTGTACTGCCCTCAAACTGCCGAGCACTGGTTGTGAACCAGGGATTAAGCATATGGAAAGGTAAAAGGAAGGCGGGCAGCTGCAGTGCATTTGTGCTATAAATGGACATTTCCGCATGCTTTTAGCTATTTAAAAACACTTTAAAAGTACAGAAAAAATGGGTTATCTGCCAGAAATGCATTTGGTTCCTAATGTCCTGTTGTGAACAGACACTTCATGCTGCTTGTGTGGGTTTATGTCAGCCCTGCCCTAGTAAACTATTGAATACCCACCTTCTCATCCCCACAGGACAGTTCTAAATTTTTGGCAAGAACACCGATACAAAATTCTTTCCATGGTAGACTTAGCAGTCTAAACGGGTAAATAGAAGTTACATTTTTTTTTTTCTTAGATGGGAGAAGGTTTAGAGTCTCAAGTTTTTATTGCTTTGATTCCCCGTTGGGAAGATTCACCCCTCGTTGTACAGGTGACCATTGTCTGAGAGTGAAAGAAATGCTAAATTTTAGTTGTCCCTTGAGCAGGGAAAATATAATGGAGGCACCTCTTCCAGGGACAATTGTTCGCTCCTAACTAAAAACCTTCCAGCAATGTGGTTAAATCGCTACTCCCCTAGGTACTGTTTTTTTTTTTTTTTTTTTTTTTTTTTTTTTTTTTTTTTTTCTGACATGGAGTGATATCTGTGTGTAAATGAATAAACAGATATTAAACAAGTGAACGTGATTACTTCTAAATGACATATAAACCAAAGTCCATATTTAAATTCTCTTGTGAAGAAAGTGTACATCAACAGAATCCTGTGAAGTGTCCACCACCAGCAAAAGCAGCCTCTTACCAGATTCTTAGACCCCAAATTATAGGTAGTCTGTATGGCATGAAGCTGTATGTATCCCCATTCTGTGATTACAACCATGTAGATGTTCCGATGCTTCGTTCTCTTTTCCTTTCCTTTTTTCTTTGCCACAGAAATATTCGCATACAAAAGAAATTCTCCATAGTGGAGTACCACCAAAGATTTTTTTATTAAAATCGCAACGATTCTACTTACAAAATCATAAAGATATAAACCCCATGTAACCAAGGCCGCTGGTGCCAGCTCCAGTTAGCAAGGATGATGTCAGCATAGACTCCTCCCCCGACGTATGTTTTCCTCCAAAAGGATATTGTTAGGGGGACCAATCTTAACTGGAAAAGTAATGCACTGGGGCCCATACAAGCCGTAAATTATGCACCTACTCAATTACAACCCACTGCTATCTGAATGCAGCCCATTCAAATAAAGGGGTCCACACTGCAGCATTTAGGGGGTTAAAACAGGTGTTGAGGAGGCAACATATCGCCTCCTGACTGCCTGTCAGTTGCCTCTATATATAAAAAAAAAAAAAAAAATCCTTGTAGGATGTCAAGGGGAGAGGTGGTGGTGGTTAGACTCGCTCACCAATTTTTCCAGTCTAGTGTGCGTGTACCTTCCACCTGTCCTGCTTACCGTGACAGACATACATACATACATACATACAGCAAGCATGTGTGTGTACACATCAGGGGGTGGAGTATGGATGGGGATTATGGGGCAGGCACTGCAGAGACTGGATTAGATTATAAGGAGGCGGGGCAAAATCATTGGCCTCTTTCAGCACACTACGCTGTTCACTTCAATTGCAGATGTGTAGTTAAATGGACACAGTAATATCTATCAGTCTTAAGTGTAGTCGCATAACTGGCATCCACTAGTTACATCACTGACATCTCTTAGATTCCAGCACCAGTCACAGTTCAGAAATTACACTTTCTTCCTATGTCAGGAGGCAGGATTAGCCATACAGTCCCAGGTAGCTATGAAGGGTTAATTGTATATACAAGCAGAAGCTGTCAGTGCTGGCTCTGGCCTAGGTGAGACACTCTGAGCCCTGCATCCAGCAACCCTGGCGGTGAATGGGCTGACAAAAGCCCAGGCGTCTAGAATTTGCATCCTGTCGCCATAGTGACCTGGGATTTGCTGAGCCCTGCAATACTGAAACCGTGCCACACATCTGCAGAAGTTATGAGTTGCATGCGATAGCCTAAAGCAAGAAGACTTGTTGCCTAGAAGAGTTAAAGGTGGTAGGAAGCTCGGACCTTGCATCACTTAAGGAGAGCAGACCCAGAGGAGTGTGCCATGATGTGCATGTGCTTGCACATTATATCAAGTGCTGATGCATCCACTTTGCATTAATGTTGTTTTAATAATAGCCCTATTCAAAGAAGAGCTCTTATCAGTCTGGCGGCTCTGGGAGCCCTAAATGGGTCTGAGATCCATTCCCAGGGGATGGAGAATCATCCGTTTTGTGGCTTCCCCTTTTTGCCAATACTGTATGGTAAAGCTAGTTGGCAAGTGAAGATTGTAGTGAATGAAGTTTCAGAGTCAGATTAGAGGATAAGTTCACCTTTTTGGAACATACAAACTAAAAAAAAATCCCAGCGCCAATCAAAGAAAGTATACAATTATGCAGCTGTGCACCAGTGAAAACCACCAATAATAAATAACACAAAAAAACAGCACAAAAATTAAATATAAAATAATCACAAATAAATGTCCGTGCAAAAAAAAAAAAAAAAATATATATATATATATATATATATATATATATATATATATATATATATATATATATATATATATATATATATTTCTAACCTAAGTCCTTATTTTCCCAAAAGGATTTTCAAGACAATGTTCCAAAATGTGCTTCCACCTAATCACCACGTGAAAAATATTGACCGCACTCACCAGATGGAGGTGAGTAATAAGCCTCATAGGATATAAGGGATCCTATAGCCCCTCAGGAGGAACTCAAATCGCCTTCACCCTGCTTAGATACAGCAATCGACTCCACTCTACTTCTCCATGGAATCCTCAATAGTGTGCAAGGAAAGAAAGGCTACATAGTGTAATACTGCCACTCAATACCATATAAATCCATAGAATAAGGACACTCACATGTTTCAATAAAATAACAGGCCTTGTTTAAGTGCGGTCAATATTATTTTTCACGTGGTGATTAGGTGGAAGCACATTTTGGAACATTGTCTTGAAAATCCTTTTGGGAAAATAAGGACTTATGTTTGAAATATTATATATATATATTTTTGCACGGACATTTATTTATTTGTGATTATTTTTATTTTTTTTGCGCTGTTTTTTGTGTTATTTACCTTTTGGAACATGTTGCGTCTTCCACCTGTTTTTAGGGTGCAACATGTAAGATGTTCCAGCATCTGTGGATCTTCTTCCCATACCTGCTGTCACATGGCCACATCATTCATTCGCTGTTTCCTTTGAATAGCTGAAAGTACTGCCAGCCAACATGGCTGACTGAGTTCTCACTCAACTGAGACTGCTGGTGAGTGCTCTGTTTGCTTATTGATCGTCCTCTCAGGTAGTTGCCTGCCCGTGCAAGAATATGCAGGAGCCTGATATTGCACCTGTGATCTGATGATCAAGGGTGCAATGCTCTGCAGGCTCTTTACAAAAATTTTTGTTATGTTAAAATTTAGAAGTGTGAATACTCTACTAGTTTGAATGTATGTATTTTCCATTATATTCTGAAAAATTATATTTTTTGTTTTTTCCCTAGTCCTTGCCGAAGTCAAAGACTCAAAGGAGCAGTAAAAAAGAACGCAGCAGTTCAGCCTCAGCACGAAAGTCTAAAAGCAGTAAATCCAATGTTATTTTGACTGATGAGTCCAGCAGTGAGGATGAGAAAAAGGATAAAGAGTCTTCAGAGGAGGAAAAAGAGAGTGAAGAGGAAGAGGGAGAAGATGAGGAGGTATAGTTAAAAAATATAATTAAAAGAGAAACGAAATCTGAGTATTTCATGATTGTATAACTGATCCAATTAAATTCTCTAGCCACCAAAGAAAGCTGCTAAAAAAGAAAAGGCCAAACCAAAATCTACACCCAAGAGTAAGAGAGCCACAAAATCTGCAAATGTAAAGAAGGCAGACAGCAGTACTACAAACAAGAAGAGCAAAGGTGGTTCCAAAAAAGGTAAACTGTAGCTAAAAGCAAATGTTTTGCCCTAATACCTATTGGAATCATGAGGATTACTGATATAAACCCTCTTCATCATATAGAAGTATATACACTGCTCTAAAAAATGTTGCTTTAATTTTTTGATCAGAGTATAGCATCAAGTCAATCAAACTCCTGGGATATTGATCTGGTCAGTTAAGTAACAGAGGGGGTTATTAATCAGTTTCAGCTGCTTTGGTGTTAATGAAATTAACAGCTGCACTAGATGGGCAACAATGAGACGACCCCTAAAACAGGAATGGTTTTACAGGTGGAGATCAGACTTTTCTTCTTTTTTTTTTTTTTCCCCCCTACTCCCTCTTTTCTGACTTTTTTGCACTAGTTTTGCATTTGGCTAGGGTCAGTGTCATTACTGGTAGCATGAGGCGATATCTGGACCCTGCATTGGTTGCACAGGCAGTTCAACTCCTCCAGGATGGCACATCAATGTGTCATTGCCAGAAGGTTTGTTTTATCCCCCCAGCACAGTCTCAAGAGCATAGAGGAGGTTCCTGGAGACAGGCAGTTACTCTAGGAGAGCTGGACAGGGCCGTAGAAGGTCCTAAACCCATCAGCAGGACTGGTATCTGCTTGTTTGTGCAAGGAGGAACAGGCTGAGCGCTGCCAGAGCCCTACAAAAGGACCTACAGCAGGCCACTGGTGTGAATGTCTGACCAAACAATCAGAAACAGACTTCATGGGGTGGCCTGAGGGCCCAACGTCCTCTAGTGGGCTCCGTGCTCACTGCCCGACACCATAGAGCTCAATTGGCATTTTCCATTGAACACCAGAATTGGCAGGTCTGCCACTGGCGCCCTGTGCTTTTCACAGATAGCAGCAAGTTCACCCTGAGCACATATGACATGTGAAAGGGTCTGGAGGATCCGCGGATATCGTTATGCTGCCTGTAACATCATTCAGCATGACCGTTTTGGTGGTTGCTCAGTGATGGTCTGGGGAGGCATATCCATGGAGGGACGCACAGACCTCTACAGGCTAGACAATGGCACCCTGACTACCATTGGGTATCGGGATGTCAGATCTTACGCTGGTGCAGTGGGTTCTGCATTCCTCCTGGTGCACGACCATGCCCAGCCTCATGTGGCAAGAGTATGCAGGCAGTTCCTGGAGGATGATAGAATTGATACCATTGAATGGCCCCCACGCTCACCTGACCTAAATCCAATAGAACACCTCTGGGAAATCATGTTTCCATCCATCTGACGCCGCCAGGTTGCACCTCAGACTGTTCAGGAGCTCAGTGATGCCCTGGTCCAGATCTGGGAGGAAAAACCCCAGGACACCATCCATAGTCTCATTAGGAGCATGCCACAATGTTAGGCATGCATAGAAGCACGTGGGGGCCATACAAACTACTGAGTACCATTCTGAGTTGCTGCAATGAAATTTCAGCAAAATAGACGAGCCTGCTGCATCATTTTTTCACTTTGATTTTTGGGGCGTCTTTGAATTCAGTCCTCTGTAGGTTGATTTTCAAATCCATCAAACTATGGAGCATCCTTACATTCCTAACACGTTAGCAATTCCTTATCAGTATAGATATCCAGCATGACATTTTTACCCATTGAGATCTGATGTGTTTTCAAAGTGTTCCTTTTTAATTTTTTTGAGCAGTGTATTTGCTTTAGTAGAAAAGGGTACCTCTCCCAAATATCCACAAAGCTAGTTTGCACCAACTTGGTTTTACTAAGCCCAGGACTCTGCAGTCACTATATCTGGTCTCCCCCAGTACACAACATTAAAATGCAATTATTTTAGTAAATATAAACTGCTAAATAACTTTCCTCATCAGCAGTGTATAGCAGTCTTGTGACTTCTCAGTGTCAAGGCGAGCACTGGTTAATCTTGTAGGAGGAGTTGTCATTCTTCTCTGACTGTCCTGTGAGGCTGCAAAACCCCTGACCCTCTGGACAGTGCTGTATGGCCCTGTGCAGATTACATGCACCCTCCCAAAAAAAACCAAAAAAAAAACACTCTAGCAAATGACACCAAACTGAGCATGTGCTGAGTTAATCCTACTGTGGAAGGAGGAGGATCAGAGAAGACAGGGCTAACAAGTTCCCGCACGTCCAACAGCAAGATGGCACCCACCCGGATTGACAGAGTGCCGCTCCACTGTCATGACGTCCTTTCAGATCGCGCGGGGCTGCACTGTGGCAAGATCTTTCACCAGCTCTGTACCCCATTGCTAGTACTGTGACCAATCACAGCAGGTCACATGACACTTGTAAACAATGGGTGGCTTCCTTTCATGCCATCCAATGTATACAATTGTATTACTAGTTGTGATTGGACACAGTAATCACATGGTACAGACTAGGCCAATCACAGCCCATCTATGTCGTGATTACCTGACTGGATTTCATTGTTAAATGCTTGCTTTATAGAAATGAAATTCTTTGGTGTGTGTTTTTTATAAAAAAAAAAAAAAAAAAAAATCACCAGTGTTCCTTATCACCACTCCACCAGTTATATGATGGCACTGCATTGTGAACATTTTTTCAGTTTCTTCGTATTCCAAAAAATTATGATGCATTATAACATCAAAAAAACCGCAATGCCTCTTACTAACCACCTCCAGACTGTGTAATTTGCAAAAAGGGGCCATTTGGGGGATGTATGTACTGTCCAGACGTTTGTGAGCCTCAAGAAATTAGATTGGCTGTCAGTACTTCAGGATTTTTTTTTTTTTTTTTTTTTCAAATATATAACATAGTTTGTGTACTCTCTAGCTTTCCTACAGACTAAATACGGATTTGGGTTATTTTCACCAAAGAAATGTAGCAGAATACATTGTGGCCTAAATGTATGAAGAGCAATTATTTGCAAACTTTTTTTATTTGTAGTCTTTTTCATTAATTTAGCAAAAAATCTTGTGGTGATTCTATACCAGGAAAAGGAAATATCTAGATATGTGAAAAACATTATAAAAATTTGGTTTGGGTACAGTGTTGCATGACTGTGCAGTTGTCATTCAAAATGTGAGAGGGCTGAAAGCTGATATTTTGTCCTGGCCAGGAAGGGGGTAAAAGTGCCTGGTATTGAAGTGGTTAAACAGCATTTTTACACAATGGAGGATTAACCTCTTAGGTTGCATAGTGAGTATAACCAGCATACTTTAATGCATATACAGACTGATTTTACTGTTGTGGGTTTAGTAACACTTTTAACCACTTACTTACGGGGCACTTTTACCCCCTTCTTGCCCAGGCAAATTTCAGCTTTCAGTGCTGTCGCACTTTGACAATTACATGGTCATGCAACACTGCCCATATGAAATTTTTATCATATTTTTCACACATATAGCTTTCTTTTGGTGGTATTTAATCGCCACTGGGTTTTTTTTTGGTTTTTTTTTTTTTGCGCTATAAATGAAAAAAAGAGTGAAAAATCTGAAAAAAGGTTCTTTGTTTCTATTATATAATTTTGCAAACAGACAATTTTTCTCCTTCACTGATGTGTGTTGATGAGGCTGCACTGATGGGCACTGATAATCTGTGCCCTGATGATCAGTGGCGATCTCTGTAACAGCTGCCGGTTATCTGGAGTACTTTCCTCACACTGTGAGAGCGTGAGGAAAGTGCTGCCGATAACCGGCAACTGTTTACTCGGTGATCTGCTGTGTCCCGTGGTAAAAGGCTGCTGTGATTGGCCTTTTACCACATCACGTGATCAGCTGTGTCCATAGGACACAGCGACCATGGAGATCGCGGGGCGCTGGGGGTGTCATATGATGCCCTCCCAGAACTGGTCCACAGCAGTGTATCCATCATTCAGCTATAGTGCGGTAAGGATGTGGTTAAACGGGCTTTAACAGTTTTTAATAACTGCATATGGCTTATCTTCAGGCAAAAGTTACATTTAAAGCAGAACTGAATCTTCCTATACTTTTCAGCCAAGGAAGCTGTTATCTTGGCCTTTGATCGGCAACTGCCAAGGTGCGCCATGTGATCAGTTATTGAAATCAGCCATTTGTTTGACAATTTAGTTGAGAGTGCAAGCAAATGTGACAGTTGGCATTCCCAGCATGCTGGCAATGTAACTTTTTTATCAAGTCGATGGGTTTAGTTCTGCATTAAATGGTGCGTTGTGCATCAGTTAACCTCTTGGTCTTGCTTTCGAACACCCCTTCCTAAGCCAAGCTAAATTCCTGTCCTGGGGAGTGGGCATTTCCCCGTTTCGTTGTCGTTTTAGGACCCTGGTTCCTCACTTTACTTAAATACCAGTTTGAATTGACTAGTCTGGCTGTCTCTATTGGCAGCAGTGACTTTAATCTGTGAAAACATGTCAGAAAGGGTGGAGAAATCACCACTGCTGATAGGCCCCCATTTCTTAGAGTAAATGTGTGAAGAATTTTTAATTGTGATGGCTTGGTAAAAGCATCTATGCCTATGTCTTGCATGGAATTGATGTCTCCACAGATATGTGGTTGTAATGCTCATGCCACATCATACCGGTCTGAGGGGGTCGGAGGAATTCCACGCTTCTCCATCTACTTTGGCAGTAGGCTTTTGTAGCTCTTCAGAGCCTAACCAGTGTTTACAAGTGGGATATTTTTTGTACATCCAGATATGCCTTTGAGTCGTTTGGACCTTTGCATTCATAACCCTTCTAAGGCTCTGCAGTGTGCAAGCTTTAATCAGGTAGCGTTGTGCAGGGGTCTATCGTAGGTGCCTGTCTGTTATTGGTAGACCAGGCTATTCCGCTTTAAAACCTTGTTAAAAAGGTCTACACCACGGATGTGCTTTTTCTCCAAGATATTCACTTTTTCTCCAATCCATACCAACCAAAGTTTTTACATCACCAGTACCCCCAGTTTTACTTGGCTAATGGGATGGGGGTTGCTGCCATTTTTGTTTTTTCTAAAAGGTTATCTTTCTCACTGGTAAAATCCATTGTATATTCAAACGGGCGATACGTTGCCCTCCAGGGTCTGCTAGACAATCTGCTAGTGACCTTAGTTGCCCAATATGTACTGAGCACTGGCCACTGCGCCACCTGCCCAAGATGCACTAAATTGGCCAAAATGCTACATTATGATAATTTGGTGGATGTCTGGCGAGTGTGACACCCATCGTAGAAAGACTCTACTTTTTGTATTCTCGTTCACTTCACCTATTCACGAATTGACCATATTTTACACCTTTCACCTCAGCCCCATTATTCCATTCCAGCAAATTAACGAAAGTACCCTGGCCAGACCACTCCGCACTTTGGACAACCTGCAACTTTGAGCCGTCACTGGCTCCCGACCCTGACGACTTAACGATTCTTTTAAGGTACCCTTCTGTTTTGATATTGAACAACACTTAAAAGAATTATTCACTCAAAATTACCCTGCAGGCATCTCTCTGGTAATCAGCTGGGAGGCCCATAAGGCCATGATCTGGGGATACTTTATTCAAATCGCAGCCCATTTGAAAAAATCCTTAGACCTCCCTACTTTGCCGAAGAGCGAACTGGCTTCTCTATTGTCTCAACACAAACAAAACCTTGATCTGGATATTAGGGAGAAGATTGACGTCCTTCGCTTAGAATTAAACCTCTGATAAGCAGTGTGGAAAAGAGCCTACGGTGGACCCGTGCAAAAAATCCCAATATGACTGATCAGGGACGCTTTTGGCATGCTTTTGGCTTTGGCTTTTGGCATGTAAATTAGCCCTAGACCACCTCGCACTTCAATACCGAAGATCAGAAAACCTGATGGGTCTTTGACTCAAAACCCTCCTCTGGTCCTTCAGCTTTTTCACTTTTCTCTAATATTTATCAGGCCCCCGGGGGGTGGGATCGGCAGCCATAGATGCCTTCATAACAAATATCCCTTTTACCGACACTGTCTTCTGCCCATAGAGATGCTGTGGGAGAAATTCTAGCTGCCGTTAAACAGGCTAATGCATACAAAGTTCCCAGCCCAGAAAGTTGCTCAAAAGATCCTGCAGCTACCAATAGATCCGGGAAGATCCAGAAACTGCTTGGAGAAAAAAAAAAAAAAAAAAACCAAAAGAACAGCAGCATGGGATCTCCGTTAGCAATACATGTAGTTTTATTAAACAAAAAAAAGTAGACTCGTGTAAAATTCTTGTCAAACTGCTCTGGTGCAGATAGCAACGTGGAAGAAATTCCAAAGTGTCTAATGTTAATATCCAATATGTTTCCCGATGACACAATTTTTGGAATTTTCTCAGCTAACATTCCCTCATTTGGGATAGCCCAAGACGAAGGTGTGTCCTTTGAATCATGTTACCGCCCCCTCCTCTTTTTTTCTACAGTATTTGGAGATCCACCAGGCAGTATCAGCATACTAGCTATTAGAGGGTTTTGACAGCTGTCAAACTCCTTTGCTATGACTGAGGGATTCTAAATGAATATCTGCTTCACATACTTGGAATTGTTACAATGTTGTGATCTGCAACAGAACTGTTTGTGTGTAGGTATGTTTTGTTTTTTTATGTTAATAGTGTGGCTGACTTTTGCTCCATGGCATGCATGGCTTTGCAGGAGATTCTTAGAACTAAACAGGTGAAGAGCCTGTGAGCTGAATGGGGCAAAACATCTAACATTTACTCCATTCATGCACAACAGTGTGGGTAAATCTGCTGGTTCACCTATTGTATTTGACAGGACTAGTTACACTCATAATACCTCAACAGCAGCTGCATCTAATTGAATGTGCCCACTGTTTGGACCAAAAATGTTCTATCTGGCCACTTCTATTATTCTGGTACCAAATAAACTTTATTACAACAGTAAGTTACATGCATACAATTGCAAGAATAAAAATGGAATAATTGCAAAAGTGCACAAAGTAAACACGTAAGCTTCTAGTACAGACCACAAATCGCACATTTAAAGAGCCAGACACAGAAAATTGAAGGATCTAATTGAGTGATAGAGAACAAGCCACCTGTTGGGAGAGAGACCATACATGGGGGAAATATTGCTTCAGGACCCCAATTGCCCTTCGTACTGCTATTCTACAAAACTGGGGCATGCTGGGTAGAAGGGTTATATGGGGGCTGGCCTACAATTTTTTTCTTTTTACCATTTTCCATAGTCCTGTTGACTGCAGTAAAACTCAACTGTTTCTGGATTCCAAGAAATACACTGAATACAAAAGACTAATTAGCCTTTCAATATATCATTTTGCTTGTTCATGGGAGCTTAGGATGGACATTACCAGGTTTCTGCTAAATCTGCAGCAAGTATAATTCTGCCAGAAATTAACTCAGCTTCTTGTTTCCTATTGTGGGCTGACAACAAATGGCATTTTTGTGAGCCAAGTGGTTTCGGCCCCGCCCTGTTTTTTTATTTTGCTAAGCTACATGACCACTCCTAGCTTTACCTTACAAGCATAGACCCTAATTAACTTGGAATCCTAAGAAGAACTAGGAGAGCTAAATAAACTCTTTAAATATTTGTTATATTTAATACCACTTTAAAGCTGTTGTGTGCCCTCTGCCTGTGTTATTTAATACTGCACTTTCCCAGTTCTTAGATGGGATGGCTGCGTTTGGTTTTCTTTTTCACCTGGGGATCCTGCCAGTATTTGTTTTTCAACAGAACATGCGTGCCTGGAAAAAGAGGAGTTGGAGGGTTGAGACAAACCATTTACCACTGATGGCTGCTTGCAATGATCAGCTTTTATTTAGGTAAAGCATTTATCCCAAGAGAAGAAAAACCTGTATCTCTAGCTGCAGTATGAGCTGTCCAAAGGTGCCCCTGTGCTGTTCTGTCAGCAGTGGAAACTCCGCTGTCAAAATACAGTAGCACTGCGGGGAGATTCCACTTTCACTTGGAGTCAGTCTTTCTAATTGATCCCTGCAGAGATTTTTTTTTTTTTTCTCCATCCTTCCGGATGGAACAGGTAGATCAGTTTGCAAGCGTGTGTTCTCTGGCTTGGGATTTTCCCTCCAGTGTTAAGACATTCCTCACGAATGTGAGTATTTTGCATTTGGAAACCATCCCTGATGCCAGAAAACGGCAAGAAGCAAAGTTACTACCGGATTTGTTTTCACATTTTTGTTACCAGGTGGGGGTTGCCCACCCTCAGTTGAACTGATTTTGGACATCTCGAAGATGAATTCATGTGTGTCTTAATGTACAAGAGTAAAGAATGGTTTTTGCACTAAAATCCTATACTTGGAATCCTCTTGGACATGGTTTTCACCTTTTGGGTTATACTGCTGACTACAAAAGGGGGAGAAAAGTCTTCTTTGTTGGGGCATACTGCTGACTATAAAAAAAAAAAAAAAAAAAAAAAAAGTGAAAAACCTGTAGGCTAGCCTTGGACAAACCCTCCCAACTACCAGTTTTATAGCAAGTAATACTAGTATGATCAATAAATACGGGTTAGGACCTGTGTCTTTCAAAGGACTCTAACATTTAGAGACAAAAATTTGTAAAGGGTATGTATTTGTATCAGAATTTTTTAGAGTTAGCGAGGATTTTTTATCACATTATTAAATAGACTTTGAGCATGCATTAAAATATTAAAATCTGTAACAGAGAAAATTGTGGAATCGGAAAGCGAGTCAGGAGACAGCTCGGATGATGAGCCCTTGATCAAGAAGTTGCGTAAACCACCCACTGATGAAGAGATCCAAGAAACCGTGAAACAACTTTTAGCAGAAGCAAATCTTGAAGAAGTCACAATGAAGCAAATCTGCAAAAAGGTATGCTGCAGGATAAATTTTGGGGTTTTGGTTTACATTTCAAATATTAGGTCTGCACTATTCATTACAACAATGTAGAGTGTCTAACTGTATTTCCACTTTGGAACAACACCTATTATATATATTTGTTTGTTTCATATTATCATTCACATAGCCTAACTGGAAAAATTTAAAATTGTTTTTTTTCTGAAAACTTAAACGCTGAAGTTTTAAGATCTCATTGGGTCTTAACTAGAACATAACACTCTTCTAACAGAATTAAATATCTAGAAGCTGCACTTCTGCATTCTGGGAAGGAAGGCCTTGTGTCCCTCTTTAGTTAGTGTCTGCTTGAGGCCAAATCTAAACGCCTAGAAAGGTAAAAAAAAAAAAAAAATGTTTACATTATTTGTAGGTATCCTGTTTGCATTGGAACACGAGCAGTGGTGTTTCCTTAACCACTTGCCTACTCTGGGCACTTTTACCCCCTTCCTGCCCAGGCCAATTTTCAGCTTTCAGTGCTGTCGCACTTTGACAATTGCGCGGTCATGCAACACTGTACCCAAACAAAATATTTATTATTTTTTTAGACCATTCTTTCTTTTGTTGGTATTTAGTCACCACTGGGGGGTTTTAATTTTTGCTAATCTAAAATACTGAAAATTTTAAAGTGGGGTTTTTGTTTTTTATCTTAGTTTTTGTTATACAATTTTGTAAAAAGGTAATTTTTCTCCTTCGCTGATGTGTGCTAATGAGGCTGCAGTGATGGGCACTGATAGGTGGCACTGAAAGGCAGCACTCATATATGGCACTGATGGGAACTGACAGGTGACACTAATGGGGCTACACTGATAATCAGGGCACTGATGATCAGTGTACATTTTGCCTCTGAGGAATGCAGCTTACTGGGTCTTCTCTCCTCACGCACTGTCAGCGTGAGGAGAGGACTGCCGATAACCGGCATTTCCTGTTTACATTTAATCAGCTGCGAGTGGATACAGCTGATCACATGATAGAGCCTACGTCATCGGCTCTTTACTTCGATTGATGATCCGCTGTGTCCCAGGGACACAGCGCACCACAGATCACCGGTGCCCCCCCCCCCCCCCCCCCCCCCCCGGGGCGCGTATGCGCTGCTAGAGTGGGAGGACGTCATACGACATCCTCCCAGAACAAGAGAACTACCACCCTCACCTTATATGGTGGGCGGGAGGTGGTTAAATTTGACCATCAAAAGTGGAAATGTAATTTAATGTAATGGTGCATGAGAACTTTAGAACACTGTTTTGTTTCAACTTGTTTGTGTACTTTTTTTTTTTTTTTTTTTTTTTTTTTTGTGTGTGTTTTTAGGTGAATGAGTGCTATCCTACTTATGACTTGTCCTCAAGGAAAGAATTCATTAAGGCTACAGTTAAGGAGGTATGTGTGTAGGAGATGGTAAGCGTAACAACTATGTGATCTGATTTTCAAACAAATGTAAGTCTTGGCCCTCATTCATATGGGCCTCATTTTATTTGTTTAAACACAGGTGAAGTTCAATACAAGTATAAGCAACTTATTGATCTGGTAATGAGTCTAGACACAGGAGTATCTAACTTGGGTGCACAGGTTTTGTGGGGTTTTTTGTTTTTTCCTTCCCCTAAACCCAGCTATAAACTGCCCCTGAAAACAATTAACCTCAGTGTTCATTTTATCATTTAAATTCCTAATATGCCTTTTAGACATGTCCAATAAACTACATATAATACCATACCTGTGTGAATGAGGCCTTAGGCCCCTTTTTTACCAGTCTCTGATCAGCAATGGATCCTTGAACCAATTGTAGCGGAACAAATGGCACTTTTGACTGTTCAGTGTTTTTGTTTTTTTTAAGACCTATGTTCTATGAGCAGCTGGATGTAAGCGGATGTTCATTTACATCTTATTAACTTGAGCCATCACACTTGTGTATATTAAAAAAAAAAATGCAATCCTTTTATTTTTGCCTAGACGGATATATTACATCTGGCTGCCCCTAGACTGGTTGAGCTTTCATTCAGTTCTGCCTGGGACAGGTGGATCTGATCAGAATGCTTTTCTGAAAGAATCCTTGGTCTTCACATTTTGTGCAATCTTGAAGTGTTACCTGTGCCCAGGCTTTACAGTATGTACAGATTGTTGAAAAGCAGTAAAAGCGCTTTAAACTAGCAGTCCTTGGAAGGAAAGCAAAAGAATGGAGTGTTCAAGGATGATCAGCCGGTATTTTATCCATACATAGAAACTGCAGTAAAAACGTCAATATTTTATTATAAAATATGCCACAGGCTACACAAAATATTAATATATCATATATGCTAAATGGCTGCTGTCCTCATATATAGCCATTTAGCCAATGATGACAGTAGCCATTTAGCCTAAATGTATTTTTATTGCTTATAATATTTTGCGCAGTCTCTGTGACAAATTTTATGTTTGTGTAATAAAATGTTGAAGTTTTTTTTAATGCGGTTTCTATGTATGGATAAAATACCAGCTTGGCATCCTTGAACAATCTGTTCTTTTGCTTTCCTTCCATTGCTTACTTTTGTGGGTTGATTAGCCTCCAGTATATGAGCTGTTTAGCCTAAATCTGTGTTCTCCCCCACAATTATTAAAAGTTCCCAGCTTTTAAACAAGCTATCCCAGACTTCTCTGACTGCTTGTACTGTGAGGTTATTCAGTCTCAAAAATCATAAGACTCCGAAGTCAGGTTTGAGTTGGCTAACCGCTTTGAAATATCTGCTATGTTTACACTAGAAGGCTGGAAGACTACCTAAATTTTAGTACACTGCATGCTAAAATGTGCACTTCAGTAGCATTAAATTTTAAAGGCGCCCAAAAAAAAAGCTTTGTAACATACTGCATGTGCATTACAGTACACAACACTGCTGTTACAAAAATTAGAACATAAACCTTTTTTGGTGCATTAGCCAATTCATTTAGATGATTGGGCTGCCTTGGCACCATGTGCAGTAATGTAGGTTACCACACCACATGTGTGCAAACCCAGCTCAATGAGAACAGAGCAAAGATTTTGGTCCCTCTGTTGTGAACTTTTGAAGACCAGTCTCTCCAGGGTGCTTATAGCGTGCAGAGATGAATGTGTTTTTTTTTTTTTTTTTTTTTTTTTTTTTTTTTTTTTAGTGCTTCTCTCACTTGTTCAGTATAGGACTACTTAAAGCAGTATTAGTCCATGAATATGATGGCTGCCTTAGTTTCCCTTTTTAAGGCTTTTCCTCTTTATTTCACCTGAAGATCTAGGTAGTAGGTCTGTTATTTTTCAGCTTTATGGGCTAAAATGTTTAGACAAAGTAAGCAGTTACAGGGATGAGACAAACCATTTAACACTGACAGGTGCTTACAGTTGTTTTTTTTCCTTTTTTAGGATAAAAGGTTTTACATAGTTTGCTGTAACGTCTTATAAGGTGTTATCTGGAGTTCAGTTTCAATTTTAGTCAAGTCCATCTAAATTTGCTAGTCTAAAATTGCCTCACCACAGACCTGACAAGCCTACTGTCCATAGGTGTCTGCTTTACTAATTCATTCAGAATGCAGACACCTGAAGACAAAGTGTTACTGGCAAGATCACCAAATGAAATGCCTTGGAAAAAGGGAAACTAATGCAGCCGCTGCATCTTGGTAAGCTGCACTGTACATTACATGTTTTTGGGTTTAATACGGTTTCATGCATGCATAGCTTGGGCACAGGTTCACTTTAAAGTTTACATCTCCTGGTGTGCCTGCATGCTATTTTTAAAGGGGTTTATGAGGGGCCCTAAATCTCAAAGACCTTCACTACAATATGCAGATTTTTAGCAGTGTTTAATTCTGGTAAACAGAATCGCCACTTCTTCCTATTGGTTACTTAGCTACTGTGCTGGGCAGCGTTACCAATAAGTTGGAAGTTGCTGGAGGGATGGGGCAGCTTTCTAAACTGCTAGGAAGTGTAGACATTTGCATATTGGCGCCCCCTCCCCCCCCCCCCCCCCCCCCCACTGTACAAGGTTATGTGCATGCTGTTGTGCGTTTCATCTTTTACACGCAATGTATTTTAGTAGTTTATTGTTGAAATGTGTTTGGTGTGTACAGCTGGGTAAGTCTTGACACATTTTAATGGACTGCTTTTTTTTTTTTTTTTTTTTTTTTTTTTTTTTTGTCTTTTTTTCTTATCACAGCTTATTTCATGATTCTCTAGCGGACTATATTTTATACGTGAAAAATACATGGACTGTTGGATTATACTCATACGTCATACTCTGAGAATCTGACACCAGCAAAAATGTATTTGTTTTTACCACTTTGGGTACAGTGTATTTTTAAGCAGATTTTGCTTTTGTTTGCGTTTAAAGGCCTATGTAAATTGCTTAATTAAAACATATTTTACAGTAGTATTCAAGTGTACTTTTAGCTATTCGCCTGTGTGTTTATTTTAATTTTTTTATTTTCCATCTTGTAGCTTTTGTAATTCTATTCACATTGCAGCTGGAAGACTGCCACTTGACAGGTTTTTTTTTTTGGGGGGGGGGGGGGGGGGGGGGGGGGGGGGAATTAAGGAAATTTGTTAAACTATACAAAGGCTGCTAATGTGACCTCTTCCTTATGAAAGTACTAGTATTCTGGTTTTGTCACTGACCTAGAACAAGTGTGTATTTTAGAAATCCTGCATGCTTGTTTCAGATCAGTGGGTTTGGTTTGCAAAGGGAACCTGTTCTATTCCCATTAATAAAGTGGTGTTCATTTTGCTTGAGGAATAAGGTGAAATTGTGTGCATTTTACTTCAGTCATCCATTGTACAATCAAAAGCTGTTTTGTTTTAATATTGCATAGGACTGGGTATTTAAATTGAACATCACGTCAACATAAGCACTATATGAATAGCCTCTTTGGTAAATCAACCTCATTATCTCATAGTATTCAAGACCGAGACAGCCAGGCAACTAGAAATGGCCAGCAATGACAGCCTTATTTCTCATTTATAGGTTTCTTTTTGTATTTATAGTGCACTTGCTTAATACAGTAAATGTTTTGCATTAACCCAATGAAAATGAAACCTGGATGATTGTGCTTCTCAAATTGCTATTTGTCTCATTAAAGGCCAAGTTCTCCGTAATCAGCCGTCAAGGGGGGTTCCGTACACTGCAGTTGTGAAAGGAATTGGTTAATCCAATTGTTATACCTGTAGGCCTTTTTTCGGCACCCCCTAAACCTGGCACATGACCTCCGTATATTGCATTCCCCTTCCTGGCTATTTGCAAGAATGCAGCAGACATCGAGTGCTCGCCTCTAGTATTGCAGTGGGCTCTTGGAGTGAGCGCATGCTTTGTTGAATTAGGGAGAGGAAAGGGGAAAGTTCTGTTTTTTTACTTGTCACCCGCTCCCTGTGAGGAATTGGCACCTTTTGGGGAGCAGCTTCCCACTTCTGTTGCAATCGCCATCCTAAGTTTTTGTAGCTGACTTTTTTTTTTTTTTACTGGAGCTCCACTTTAACATCTGCTGCATCATAGCAACTAGCCAAGGCAGGTAATGCATACAATATAGGAGAGTATCTGTCAGACACAATGGGTGCAGCAAACAACTGTTGGGTATAGCAGTTGCATTAAGTAATATTTTTTTTTTAACCACACAGTATATTTTAACCTACTGGGGCCCCTTAACTGCATAGTCATGGTGATCATAGCCTTAAAAGACCTAAATTAGAACAGAAAATTCACCTTTCTCTGGCTCAGGAATTAAAATGTATTTTGATATAGCACTAAAAAATTCTCTTCCAGCACTAGGTGTTACTGATCATGTGATCTTAAAATGTATCTGGTGGTTTTCTTTCCTTGTTTTGCATATATGGAATTCAACTGTGTTTAAAGTTCCTTCATTTTCATAAATTGAGATTTTAAGTAGTCATCACTTCTATTTCTATGCACTCTGCATATGGATTTCAATAACTTTTGCATGTATATGTTGCAATTTTTGTACTTTGTTTCCATGTTTATATTGTTTAACATAAACTTTTAAGTGGAACTTTTTGTTTCTCTGGTGTCTTACTGTTCTAATGGAATATAGAAAACCGTACATTCACCAAATACATGTGCATGCTTGTACAGCATTGCCACTTGAATTTCTGATCGCCTATTTGGTGACCCTTTTGTCAAAAGCCAGAATTCAATATCTAAATATCTGTCCACTGAATTGACTATGGATACATTGCACAGACAACTCCTGGTGCACAGAAGAGCGTGTCTTGGCTACAACATAGCTCTCCTCCAAATGTGACCCTGTTGTGTGTATTTATACTATTGGCATGTTTCTGTTGCTACAGAACAAGCAAGATAAGGGTTGTTCAAAAAATAACTGCAAAATGACAAGCTTTTCTACTCACAGCATTGCCTTTTAAAGTATGCGCTAGATTTCTATTGGCA